AGAGATGGCTTTCCTATTTAGATAAGGAAATCAAGTATAACAGCCACTTATTAGCAAAATGTTTAAAGGAAAAAGAAGCCATTGCTTTTTAGTTGTCTTCCAAAGCCTCTGATCTCGTCTATCCACTCCCACCTGTTCCGTCAGGGTCACGGTGGGGCCGGTGCCTATCTCCATTAATCAATGGGTGAAAGGCAGAGTACACGCTGGATAGGTTGCTAGTCTGTGGCAGAGCAACACAGAGATTCCACCTTAGAGACATCAATTAACCTAAGTCATGTGAAATGTGGGAGAGTGCCAGAGTAGCTGGGGAGGACCCACAAATGCACTGGGAGTAGATTCAAACACCATGCAGAAACACCCTAGACTAGGAATCGAACCCTGAACCTTTGCTCTGCAGCACAGTGCAGCACTTGATCTTAGTTACAAAAAAAAATTCTAAGTACTGATTAAACTTATGCAACCTTCTGAATATGAAGCAATTAATTTGAAATTAATTTGATTTCCTTTTTTCTAACCAGCTAAGGCCTCATTAAGATTAACTTTTTTCCATGGAGTGATTTTTTTTTTTTACATTAGTGTTGACAGGAACTAACCTGGCAAAAGCCAGATTGATATCATGTAGAATTCAAATTGAACAACACGGATCGATCTAGGGGGCTAAAAAGAAGGTTCTGGGTTTGATCCCCAGCCCAGGATCTTTGCAGGGACAACATGTCTCTGTGTTGCCCTGTGAGAGACTGGCCCATAGTCGTTTTACTTGTTTTTTAAAAAGAAATTGAGGGTGTACCAGCCAGCAGCCATGTTTGTTTTGCTTCAGCTTTCCGGGTGCTTTTCATTGTCAGAAATATTTCTGTGCAGAGGCTGTATTTTCATGAGTTTGTGAATTCACAAATCCTGCAAAAATGTATCTTGCTTGCAAAGTAAAGAAAATGTTTAGTAAATGAAAGCTGAAAAGAAAAGCAATCAAGAAATGAAACTGTGAAAACACAAGTTTTACGCCTTTATTTTCTTAAATGATTTTTTTTACCTTTCATATTTTCCTTTTCAAATGTATAACAATTTATATATATATATATATATATATATATATATACATTTAATGGGTGGGTCTGTTATCTTCCAATCTTATATATATATTTACCTTCCATACCTGGATGTTTTTGTGTGATACAGCCGACTCGTTCTGACCGGGGTTGGTTCGTGCTTCCATTTGGGAAGAACCCCTGGTGGTGGTACCTGGCCACCTTTGTTCCGGCTCTCCTCGTCACCATCCTGATCTTCATGGACCAACAGATCAGTGCCGTAATCGTCAACCGCAAAGAAAACAAGCTAAAGGTCTGAAAATTAGTTACTCCTTGGTTTAAAAGCAAAATAGTAGTTTTCCTGTACTATTATGTAACAGAAGGCGGTGAGAGCAAATAAATTATATGCAATCAACTGGTTTGAACCTTGAATCAATTTGTATGTTTGATGTGGTGAACTGTAAAGTGCCTTGAGATGACATGTGTTGTTAATTGGCGCTATAGAAATAAACTGAATTTAATATCGAAGGCTTGGGTTAGGAATTAAATGAGATCTGAAGCTTAAACCAAGCTGGAAAATTCTGGCTTCTCTGAATTACACTGAATGTAAAGCTATGGTGAAGCCTATTTTTTGCAACAGAAAGCCCTGCCTTTGCAACATTGCAATCGGCTCATTTATCTCCCTTGTTCAGAGCATACAGAAAGCTGCTGCACATCTTTTAGCAATTAAAGTTTGATCATGTTTACTGCATTTTTGCCTCTCTAAACCAGTTAACCTTAAATTTAAAGATTTATTTTAGATTTGCCTTCCCCCCACCCTACGTGTCTGATTTCCTGCATCCTTCCATGCCGTCCTGTTCCCTCAGGCCAGCTGATAAGCTGATTATGAGCCAAAGAGAAGAGCGAGCCCAGAAGATAGCATGCTTTTACTGTAGCACAGGAGTTTCCAAAATGAGAGTCAGGCTTCTCTGGGGGTAATGAGACGACAATTAGGGGGTGACAAATGGTTTTTCACAGTCATTTCGATCCTTTGGTATGTGGAGGGTCACATTATATGTTATAAAAATACATAAATATGAATGTCCTACGAAATAAATACTGTATTTTCCGCACTGGATTACAAAGTGCACCTTCAATAATTTGGCCTATTTTAGAACAGTTTGCATATTTAGGGCCCACCGGCTTTTAAGGCGCATAGAATAAAAGCTGTAGTAAAAGGTTTGATGGGGGTTAGTGTTATGCATGGACTATAAGGAGCTGTGCTCAAGGGAATGTCCACAAAACAGATAAATCATTCAGTCAAACCTTATTGATACAATACAAAGCACACATAAAGGTCCCTTTTCAGTTAATTCCCCGTGTTTCCCTTTATCATCGAAACTAAATAATGTCAGTGACATAATTTAGATTACTTCGAGTTGCAGAGTAAGTTAGATATAGTGCGCACCATTAAAATATTGGATAGATCTTTGTAAATCACTCCCTGTATTTATTTCTTTTATAATTCAGAAAGGCTGTGGATACCACTTGGACCTGTTCTGGGTGGGTGTGTTGATGGCTGTGTGTTCCTTCATGGGTTTGCCTTGGTATGTTGCCGCCACTGTCATCTCCATCGCCCACATCGACTCTCTGAAGATGGAGAGCGAATGCAGTGCTCCTGGAGAACAGCCTCAGTTCCTTGGAGTCAGGTGAAACTAGTTCAATGAGTAAACTCTGTAAATGTGGTAGATCTAGACGGAGCTCGAGGTTTTTTTTATATTTGATGGTAATAAAACAAAAAATTGTTGTTGTTTTTTTAGAGAGCAACGGCTGACAGGTGTTCTGGTGTTTGTGCTGACTGGCCTCTCAGTCTTCCTCGCTCCCATCCTTCAGGTCAGTAGAACCATTATCAATAGGGCTGGGTTCCTTTACATTTTTGCAAAATCGATGTCTAGGGAATGAGATCGATTATTTTTATAGTGATGCGCGTGACGTTCACCTTCAAATAAGCAGGAAAGATGCACTCAGGATGACTTCAAGCCAGACAGCTGCAAATATACTCAATAGGTTGATTGAAGACATTAACAAATGGGGCTGACCAGAAAACACCCTGTAGTTGTTACAGACAACTCTGCAAATATGGTTTGTGCATTGAAAATAATGCAGCTCATGCATGTCTGCTGTGTCACCTCTGCTTGTTTGAGTGAGGCTTCACTTTTTCTCAAGTCATACTTTTTTACAAGTTTGCACTTTGTGTTTAATGTAACAGGAAAAAAACAAAACAAAATACAGCAGTATTTTGAAACACAGTTAACCCACTTTCATTATTGTAAAAACAGATTAAATTGAAATTAATCGATTTAGAACTCTATGAATCAAAATCGAATCGATTCAGGACTTTGGTGAAAATACCCAGCCCTAATTATGAAGTAGCTAATAACCGTCTTCCCTTATTTTCTTTAAAACTTTGTTCTTCTGTTGTTCTGTGTAGTACATTCCAATGCCAGTCCTCTACGGAGTTTTCCTTTACATGGGAGTTGCATCACTGAGTGGTATTCAGGTATGTTTGAACGTTAAGACAGAAATATAAATGTCTTGTCAGGAAGTGACAATGGACATTAAGTATATTTATTAAAAAATCTTTTTTTGAAAAGGTGTTTGTCTTTCTAAATATGCTGGAGAATTGGAAAACAGAGATAGAATCTAGTAGTGATGAAAAGTGGTCCCTATGTCATCCAGCAGCTTAAGCCTATAGCAGCACAGCTATAAAGATAGCTCAGGAAACTAAATAATAACATCATTTTCTATTTCTGAATAAAAATGTAATATATAATATATAAAATATATGGCTATTTTTAAATATATTTAATTACTTTCAAGTCAATATATTGCACTGGGTGCATATCGATGCTTGTGAAACACTTCCCCTGTGTATCTTTAGAGAGCTGAATCCAAACCAAATGGAGAACTTTTCTGCTTTCCACGGCTCTTGCAGCATATCAATCCTGCTCATCTCAAAAACTCATCACTGTAACTTGACTGGATTGACTCTGTCACTGAATGAGTCATGTTACCCAGAGCGCCGCTTTTTGGCAGTCTGAGCTCCTAAGAGCTATATAGGATAAAAGCTAGCCATCCAAACGTATCTGACCCTAAACTTAACCTGATCAGACATATGTTTGGTTCTCTGATGTTAATCAAGAGGGAAACATGTGGCCTTATCTTTTTACAAAGAACTCCATGACTTCTCTGTCTGCTGATCCAGAACTATCTGCTCTCAGATTCCAAAATATTTTTTAAATATTCATCATTTTCAAGTTGCATTTCAAATATTACATTCTTTTCACTTCAAACACAGGAAAGGATCGCTATTGATGTGAACAATAAAATAGTTGTTGCTAATGTCAATGCAGAAGCTGTGCAAATGCGTCTTTTCTCCTCACTCCAGAGGAAATGTCAGTTTGTAAAACTCAATCACAAAAACAGATATTAAACTTTGAAAATACAATATCTTAAAAAAAAAAAAAAAACCCAAAATGTCATGATCAGTTTCAGGAATCTGACCCACATGCAGAGAAACCAGCCAGAGAACACGGGGGAAAAGTTAAACAGGTTTATTTGATGTAACGTATACAGAAGTAGGATCTGGAACTCAGTTGACTGGTGAACCGGAACTGGAAAGTCTGATGGGGAGATCACAGAGATCAGTTCAGGGACCGTAGGAAATTTGACTGCGGCTTAAATAATGAGGGACTCACGTTTGAGGCGGCTTTTGTCAATCATTGAATCCAGTCAGTGTGGGGGTAATCCAGAGAAGGGGGGAACTCGTTGGAGAGCGGACAGGTAGACATTCGTTGGACCCAGAGGAGAAATGGAGCAGGCTGTCACTTAGATTTCCGATGGGAACTTGAACAGATCATGTGGAGGTTTTCCCCTTCTCAGTGTAATCTCAGTTATTCCTTCCAGGGGGAGAAGGTCCAGGCAAACAGTTTTCCCAGGAAAGCTTCCTGTCAAAGAGCAAAGACAAAAACACATTAAACTCAGAGAAACAAAGCTAAGTTAGACTCTGCTAATCTCAGCTTGGCTAGAGTACCCAAAACTGGCAAACACTCTGGCGTCAAAGTAGTGACAGCCCACAGCTCAAATACTCCTCCAGCAATAAACCAACGAGCCGCAGGTGTGCAGGGAGGACCAACAAGGACAGGGCACCACCTGGTGGTGGAAAGAGAAGACAAACAACCCACACAAACTGGATTCCTTACAAAGAAATGAGTGAAATCTGTGATAACAATTAAAAAATATAAAATACTATAAAAGATAAATAAAATCTGAGTAAGAAGCAAAGTTACTCTCAAAAACCTGTTTGGATTAAAGGTTTTTTAAAGTACTATTTCTAGATTGCCTTGTTTTTTCCAAATTATACTGCAGAGGAGAAAAAAACGACTTATGTTCAAGTTTTGGAAATGTTTTTGACATAAAGATTAATTCTGAAAATATATGATTTAAAAAGAAAACCCAGTCTGTAAACAGAAATCCTTTTGGCAACATGTTCTGCCTCTTTGTGTTCTAGTTCTGGGAACGCATGAAGTTGTACCTGATGCCTCCCAAACACCAACCAGACTTTTCCTTCCTGCGCCACGTCCCCCTGAGACGCATCCATCTTTTCACGCTGGTTCAGATTATTTGTCTGGCTGTCCTTTGGATCCTCAAGTCCACCTTCCTGGCCATAATCTTTCCAGTAATGGTGAGTTCTTTTTATGTGTTCAGTCAGTTGATTTGAATTGCTTAAAAAATGTTGAAGTACGGATTTCAAAATGAAAACAATCGGTCAGTAAAAGATCTGTCAGATGTGAATGCCTGCCTAAGTTTAGTCACTTCTGATGCCACAAATTCAGTTACATTGATTTATGTAATTTTTATTAAAAATGTACTTTTAGGAGCAGTTTTACTGCAAAATATTTTTCACTTTTGCTTAGTTTATATTATAATCCTGTATCATTACTTTACCTGAGTAAAATCTATTGCTTCTATATCAAATGTGGGTAATTTTAATGCAAACAGACATTTCACTAAAATTACTATTCTTGTCTGAATAGCTTTTATTGTTGTAATGTTACTTTTATCAGCTGAGACATCTATAGCATGGAATCAAGGTAGCATTCAGTAAAAACCAGGTCATATACTGCTGCTGGAGGTTACCAACTGGTAGAAGTAGGAGCTATGTTAACATTTTATTACAAGATTAAAAGTCCCATCAGTTTGTTTTTGGAAGGGATCCCTGAGTTGTCGGCATGTTGGCCTGAATATGCTGTAATTTTTCTTTTTACCATAAACATTTTCATTGGTAATGCACTTGAAAAAAATC